CCCGCCAGTGTCCCCTTAACCATCGTTTCTGTGTGATCAGTGGTGTGCGTGTCTTGTGCGAGTGCCTGGGAGGCCAGGGTGTGCGTGGGGTCGGGGGTGGCCACCCCAGCTAGCCAGCTTGCCCTAAGTATGGGGGAGGACAGAGGCCTGATGACCCCACAAGTTAATATACCTCTCTCAGTCCCCCCCCCATCCCAAAACAGGGTACCCCGACTGGCCCCCATGGTCCTGTTTCTATAGGGTTTGCCTGGGACCAAAGGGTTCAGCTTTCCTCCTTCATTTCTGTTCAATGTTTACACCCCTTTTCTAACTGCTGCTCCCGCACAGCCAGGTTGGGGCGCAGCCCCGCACCCCCCGACCATGGTGCCCCTGGCCCCGTGCCCTCTCCCCAAACCGTCCTGTTTGGCATGTGATTGAACCGACCAATTTTGCTCCTGTAGCACATGTGTCACTGATGCCTGTGTGTCTGTACCACCCCGTGTGGCACCGCCGGCGGCGGCTACCATGGATGCATGACAGTGAGATGTTTTGCACTATTTTGAATTTTTTGGGCTCTGTAAAAATATTTTATTATACCTGACATTAAAAAGCACACCCTTCACTGCGGCTACTGTGGGGGTGTGGGAGGACAGGCACCCAGGGGCTCTTCATCCCACCCCAGCCCAGCACTTGCCTCAAAGTTAACATCGAGGATTAATGGACCAGGGATGCCGCAGGAGGTCTGTCCACACTCTGCCTCCCCGAGGGCTGTTCTTTAGTGCACCCACCCTTTGCAAAGCCAAGAACTTCAGGACAGGGGTTAAGCGGAGCTGGGACAGACCTGTCCTGGGAAGTGACACTGTTCTCAGCCACCGTGCTGCAAAATCCCAGGCACGGGAGTGATTAGAGACAGCCAGCACGGCCCCACCAAGGGCAAACCCATGCCGCACTCATCTAGCAGCCTTCCACGATGGAGGGGCTGCGCCAGTGGGCAGGAGCTCTGGGTGTCACCCATCTCGACTTCTGTAAGGCTTTTGACACAGTCCCCCAAAACATTCCTGCCACTAAACTGGAGTGATGTGGGTTTGATGAATGTGGGTCCCTGATGCTCTACAGAGAGACCTGGAGCTTTTGCCGGCCTTTTGCTGGGGGCTGCGGCTCCCCAGAGAGCCTTGGGGCTTTTGCTGGGGTTTGGTGGGTGCTGGGGGGGACCCTGGTGGCACAGAGAGGGCACCTGGGCCTTTGCTGGGCTTTGCCAGGGTTGGGCAATGCCCTGCTGCCCTTTAGGGAGCGCCAGGGCTCTCTCTGGGCTTTGCTGAGACCCGGGCAGTGTTCTGCTGCCCTCCGGAGAGACCCAGAGCCGTCACCAGGCTTTGCCCTAAACCTCCAGGGTGCCTGCTGCCCTCCAGAGAGCCCCCAGGGCTTTCGCCAGACTTTGGCAGGGCCCTGCTTCTCTCCAGAGCTCGCCAGATCCTTTGCCAGGCATTGTGGCCACCTGGGCAGAGCCCTGCCACCCTCTAGAGAGCCCCTGGGCTTTCACTGAGCTTTGATGGAGACCAGGCAGGGTCCTGTTGCTCTCCAGAGTGCTCTGGGGCTATTTCTGGGGTCTGCACGGGGCCCTGTTGCCCTCCAGAGAGCCAGGCTTTGCTATGGAACTGTAGAATGGTTTGGGTTGGAAGGGACCTTTAAAGGTCATTGAGTAATTCTGGCTACTGGGAGCTCTTGTCTTTTCCCAATGAACCCAGATGGATATGCCCTTTCTCAAGGTTTTCTGGATTAATGCAGTGCCATCCCTAGCTTTAATCATCAATAGTCTCCTGTGCCCATGTGAAAACAATCAATCAGCCTGGTGGATGAGGGAAAGGCTGTGCATGTTGTCTACCTGGATTTCAGCAAAGCCTTTGACACTGTCCCCCACAGCGTCCTCCTGGAGAAGCTGGCGGCTCATGGCCTGGGCGGGCGCACTCTTTGCTGGGTCAAAACTGGCTGGAAGGGCGAGCCCTGAGGGTTGTGGTGAGCGGAGTTCAATCCAGCTGGCGGCCGGGCACAAGCGGTGCCCCCAGGGCTCAGTGCTGGGCCCAGCTCTGTTTAACATCTTTATCCATGATCTGGGCAAGGGGATCAAGGGCACCCCCAGTCCGTTTGCAGATGGCACCGAGCTGGGCGGGAGTGTGGGTCTGCTGGGGGGAGGAGGGCTCTGCAGGGGGACCTGGCCAGGCTGGAGCCATGGGCCCAGCCCAATGGGGTCGCTCGGAGACGCGTGACTCCTGATGTGGGGCCCTTTTTAAGGTGCCCGTACCTGCTCACTCCTCCTCTCCTGGAGGCCAGGTAACCTGTGGCACGCCGTGCCGCTCCCTGGCTCCCTGCTCACCCCCGAACTGCTGAATCCTCCCCAGCCAAGATGTGCCCCTCGGCACGGCGCTCCTGGGGAAACGTCCCGATGGCCTCAGCGCAGCGCAGCGACCCACCGGGCGTCCCCGGGGCATTTAGCGTGACTTCTAACACAGCTTTGGTTCTGCTTCCATGCACCTGACCGGCACCTGAAAGGAGGGTGTAGGGAGGTGGGGGTCAGGCTCTGCTCCCAGGGAAGGGGCAATGGGACGAGGGGCACCGGCCTCAAGTTGTGCCAGGGCAGGGTGAGCTTGGCCATGGGGAACAATTCCTTCCCCTTGGGGCTGTCAGGCACTGGAAGGGGCTGCCCAGGGAAGGGGTCGAGTCTCCACCCCTGGGGGGATTTAACAGCTGGGCAGAGGCGGTGCTGAGGGCCAGGATTTGGGGGTGGGATGGCAGGGTTAGGGGAACGGTTGGGCTTGAGCTGAAAGGGCTTTTCCGACCTCAACAATTCTATGATTTACCTCTAATGGCACACTAAGGCTATTACTAATATTCCAAAAAGTTTGGCCACTTTAGGACAGGTCATGGCAACTCCCTGGCCTGGGGATTGGGAGCTCCTCTGTTAGTTTCCTGACAGTCAGGCTGGAGGAGCAGGTGGGATGATTACATCTAGCTCCTTCCCAACATCCAGGCCATTGGCGCAAGTCCTTCCGTGGTTATCCCACAGTGTCTGTGAGATGGGTGTGGGGAGCCTCTCTGGACTCGCATAAATCCTCTTTCTCCCAGGAGGCCCCACAGACATCTCCGTGCTGGGTCTCACTCCTGTTGGTCAGGGGGTCCTTTTGTGTCAGATTGATTGGTTCTAATGGGAAGATTTTGAGTATTTTGTTCCTTACTCTTATGCCTGGTCAGCCCCCCCCCCCAGCCTCCAGAGAGACCTGGTCCCTTCGCCCCTTGCGGGAGCCCAGAGGGGCCCTACGTCCCTAAAGGCTGCCCCAGGGCTTTTCCCAGTCTTTTCTGGGGCCTGGGCAGTGCCCTGATGCCCTCCAGAGAGCCCCAGGGACTTTACCTGGCTTTGCAGAGACCCGCAAGGAGGCCTGCTTCTCTCCAGAGTGCTCCAGGGCTTCTGCTGGTGTATTGGGTTTATGTGGAAAGGTTTTGGTGTCCAGGGGACTGAGAGGTGGCTTCTGAGAGATGCCAGAAGCTGCTCCCCTGCGTCAGATGGAGCTGGTTCCAGCTGGCTCCAAGGAGGACCCACTGCTGGCCAAAGCTGAGCCAATCTGTGACAGTGATGCCTCTGTGATAATGTATTTAAGAAAGGGTAAAAACTGCTGTGCAACAGCAGCTGGGAGAAAGCAGTGAGAATAGGTGAGAGAGACAGCCCTGCTGGCCCCCAGGCCGGTGCAGCAGGAGGGGACGAGGTGCTGCGGGTACCGGAACAGAGATTCCCCTGCAGCCCTTGATGAAGACCGTGATGAAGCAAGTTGTCCCCCTGCAGCCCATGGAGGTCCATGGAGAACCAGATCTCCACCTTGCAGCCTGTGGAGGACCTCACATCAGAGCGGGTGGATGCACCCTAAGGAATCTGTGACCCCGTGGAGAGCTGGAGCAGGCTCCTGGCAGGGGCTGTGGCCATGTGGAGAGGAGCCCATGCTGGAGCAGGTTTTCTGGCAGGACCTGTGGCCCTGTGGGGGACCCATGCTGGAGAAGTCCATCCCTGAAAGACTGCACCCCTGTGGAAAGGCCCCATGCTGGAGCGGTTTGTGAAGAACTGCAGCCCGTGGGAAGGACCCATACTGGAGATGTTTGTGAAGGACTCTCTTCCATGGGAGGAATTCCATGCTGGAGTAGGGAAGAGCATGAGGATGAAGGAGCATCAGAGACAACTTGTGATGAACTGACCGCAACCACTGTTTTCTGTCCCCCTGTAGGGGAGCAGGTAGAGAATTCAGGAGTGAACCTGAGCCCAGGAAGAAGGGAGCGGTAGGGGAAGGTGTTTTAAGATTTGTTTTTATTTTTCATTACCATACTCTGATCTGATTGGCAAGAAATTAAACTAGTTTCCCCAAGCTGAGTCTGTTTTGCCTGTGACAGTAATTGGTGAGTGATCTCCCTATCTGTACCTTGACCCACCAGGCTTTTGTCTTATTTTCTTCCCCTGTCCAGTTGAGCAGGGGGAGTGATGGAGTGGCAAAAGGAGGCAAGATTAATAGTAGGAGGAAGAGCCAACGTGAGGAGAAGGTAGAGGAAACAATGGGGGGCAACAGGAGGAAGAGGAGGAGGAAACAGGACCCAACAGGAGGAGGCAATGACAGGCAAGTGGAGAATCAGGAAACAGGAGTCAGCAACACAGGGAGCTAATGGGAGGCAACAGGAGACAACAGTATGAAAATGAAACAAGAGGAAACAGGAGGCAACAGGACACAACATGAGGTAAAAGGATGGTGATGAGGAGACAACAAAAAGCAAGAGGAGGCAAGAGAAGGATGAGGAGAACGTTGAGGAGGAGACAATAGGAAGCAAAAGGAGGAAACAGAAGGATGAAGAGAAGGAGGCAACAAAAGGTCACAGTAGGAAACAGGCGGCAAACTGAGGTGAGGTAGAGGCAACAGGAGAAAGAGGCAAAAGGAGGTGGAGGAAGAAGCAACAGGAGGCAACAGGAGGACACAAGAGGAGGAGAAGGTGGCAGGAGGTAACAGGAGAGGGAGGCAACAGAAGGTAAGAGGAGGCAAGAGGAGGAGGCAGCAACAAGAGGAGGGGGAGGCAACAGGAGGCAACACGAGGAAGAGAAGAAAACAGTAAGCAATGGGAGTCAACAGGAAGAGAAGGATGATGAGGAAAAATAAAAGAAGTGTTGTAGGAAATTGAGGAACCCATGGAGAAACAGATAAAGGAAGAGGAGAAGGATCAGAAGGAACAGGAGGATGATGAACAGGGGGAATGCAAAGAAATTTGATGAGGAAAAAGAGTAAGAGCAACAGGAGGAGGAATAAAAGAGGATGAACAAGTGGAGAAATAAAGAAAGTGAATACAAGAAACAGAAATTGCAAGCAGAAAAGAATGAGGAAGAGCAGGAGAATGAGGAGGAAGAAAAGGAGGAACTGGAAGAACTGAAGGAGAAAGAGAGAGAGGGTGAGAAGGAGGAGGAAGAAGAGAAAGAACAGAAAGAACTAGAATAGCCAGAAGAGAAAAAGGAGGAGGAGGTAACAGGAGGAAAATAAAAAGAGGAGGAGAAAAAGGGACAAGGGGATGAAAAAAGAGGATGAGGAAATGGAGGATTAGGAAGAACAGGAGGAGGAGGAGATGAAAGAAAAAAAAGAGGAGGAAGAAGAGGAAGAAGAGAAGGATAAAGGAAAGGCAGAAGGAAGAACAGGAGGTGGAAAAGGAACAAGAACAGGAGGCAGATGAATAACAGGAGTAGGAGGATGAGGAGGGGAAAAATGAGAAAGAGGAGCAGAAAGAAAAAGGGGGAAGAGCAAGAGGAGGAAGATGAAAAAGTGGAGGAATAAGAGGAGAAAAAAAGATGAGGAAGAAGAAAAGGAGAAAGAAAACATCAGGAGAAGGAGGAATAAGACCAGAAGTAACAGGTGGAAGAGGAGGAGGGACAGGAGTAAGAAACAAAAGGAAAGAAAGAACAGCAGGATGAGCAGTAAGAATATGGAAAAGATGAAAAGGAACAGAAGGACAATGAACAAAGAGGAGGAGGAGAAGGAACAGGTGAAGGAAGAAGGAGACTGGGGGAGGAAGAATAGGAGGAAGATCAAGGTGTTTAAGATGAGAGGATGGGGAGAATAAAAAAAACGAGGAGGAGGAGTAAAAATAGGAAGAATAATAATAAAAGAAAAATGAAAAACAGAAGGAAGAAGAATAGGAGGAGGAGAATGAGGAAGTAAAAAGGAAAGGAGCACAAAAAAGGAGAAAGACAAGAAAGAAGAAAAAACAGGAGGAGAATGAGAACAATGCCCTGTACATTTGCAATTTCAGAGCTGGGCTCAGGTGAGGGTGGGAGAGAACATGGGCCCTTAAGCAGGCAAAAGCAGTGCAGAGCCCCAGAGTTTGCGGGGCTTTTGAACAGCGCCCAAAGTGAGCAGAGGCCAAGCAAGAGCTTTCGGTCCTGGCCACTTTGGGGTGGGAGAAATCACCAGACGTTGGCGATTCTGGAGCTGGGCTCAGCCTTGACTGAGTTTGACCTCGAATGCCGGGACGTGAAAGTGATGCCTTAAGGGTTAAAGTTAACAATGATGTAAGCGGCCTACATGCATAAGACTTAGACCTTGTTGTCTAGTTTGCTGATGCTTTGCTAAAGTCAGTAGTTACCTAGTAGATTTATAACCTTATTAAAGGACAGGAGGAATCGGGAGAGGATGAAGTAAGAAAGATAATGACGATTTGTCAAGGTTGCTTGACAAGGAGGAACAAGAACAAAGAGCACATGGAAGATAAAGGAAGAGAAGTAACAGATGGACAGTTGGCAGGACGTGCCGGCCTTGAAAGGTGAAAAATGAAAAGTGAGGAAGATGTCTTGCCTTCATCCAAAAGACCCCCAGAACAGATTGCACATGTGTAAAAAGGAGGAACAATATATTAATGGCTTCTTAGAACTTTCCACCTATGCCTAGAAATAATTTGTATAAACCATGAATATTCATATAGAACATGTATTTAAACTGTAAGAGATAGTACAGAGGTATGCGCGTTAAGTGGAGTGATCCCCTGTGCATCCAGCACCGTGAATAAAGAATGCCTGCCTTTTAACACTACGTTGGTGTTACGAGGATTATTCCCGATTTTGGTGACAAAAGGGGCAAGGGAAGTGCAGAGCCCCAGGGTTTGTGGGGCTTTGGAAGGGCGCCCAAAGGGCTGTGAGGCCCAGCAAGAACTTTGGGTCCTGACTCCTTTGGTGCAGTGGAATTTGCCATACATACATGATTCCAGAGCAGGGCTCTGTCAAAGTCTCAGCTGAGAGTGACATCGAACGTTGGGACTTGAAGGGGGCAAGAGAAGCACAGAGCCCCAGGGTTTGTGGGTCTTTAGAAGGGTGCCCAAAGGGCGGTGAGGCCCAGCAAGAACTTTGGGTCCTTGCCCCTTTCAGGTGGGAGAAATCACCAGACGCTGGAAATTCTAGAGCTGGACTCAGCCTTGGCCAACCTTGACCTTGAACTACGGGACATGAAGGGGGCAAGAGAAGTGCAGAGCCCCAGGGTTTGTGGGACTTTTCAAAAACATAAAAAGGGTGGTAAGGCCCAGCAAGATATTTTGGTCCTGGCCTCTTTGGCGTGAGAGAAACCAAAGGACGTTTGCAATATGGGATATGGGCTTGGGCTCAGCCTTGGCTGAGATATACGTCAAACATCGGGACTTGAAGGTGGCAAGAGAAGGACAGAGCCCTGGGGTTTGTGGGCATTGTGGAAGGAGATTGATAAGTCAAACCGCAACATTTGACTTCAGGAGAGCTATCTTTGGCCTCTTCAGGGTCCTACTTGGAAGGATCCCATGGATTAAGGCCCCAGAAGATAGGGGAGTCCAAAAGAGCTGGCTGCTATTTAAGCAACATTTCCTCCATGGTCAGGATTGGTGCATCCCCATGAGTAAGAAATCAAGTAAAGGAGGCAGGAGGCATGGATGACCAAGTGGTTTCTAGCAAAACTCAAAGGGAAGAGAAAACTCTATGAAATGTGGAAAGAGGGTCAGGCCACTTGGGAGGTGTGGGAGACTGAATAGCCAGCTAAGTGGAGATGGAATAGCCAGCTCACTGTCTCAAAGCTTGCTCCTTTGTGTGGTGACCTGCAAGCATCAGCATTGCCACAGGCAAGGTGGCTTGCAGGCTTGCTGAAGCAGTGGACACCCAGGCTGGGCTGCCTGCCCACCAAGGCTGGTTGTTTTCTGCCACTTAAAGCATGCAAGCAGAACCCGGCCCCTGCCCAGCAACAAGAAAGCGGGCAAACAGAGCCCGCCAAAAGTAAAGCGCATGAAACATATGCACATGTGCTGGGCTGTGCTCTATAACAAAGGCTGCAGCCTCAGACAGTGTGGTAGACCACCGAAGACTGTGTGTAATCACTGAAGAGCACCATAGAGCCTGGAAGCATGGACCCCCGGGACGCTGCGGATCCATGTTGGTAACTGCTCTCTTCTATTCGGACCTCTCACTTGATTTCCTAAACTTTCTTTCCTTCCTTTTGTATCGTTGCTTTCTCTCTTTCCCCTGAACAGTTCATCAATGGATGGATTTATAACATCTGACCTCATTTGCATCTTAATCCTGCTTGAAGGGATTGAACCTGAAAGGAAAGGTTGGTCCAGCCGCCCCTAGCCTCCTAGACTCGTCTGAGGCCGGCGAGAAAGCAAGGGGGCTGCCTTCTCATCCAAACAAAATTGGATCCTAACAGGAGGTATAGAGGAATGCTGCCAGAGCATGCAGGGAAGCAACTAGAAAGACTAAGGTCTATCTGGAATTAAATCTGGTGAGGGATATCAAGGGTAACAAGAAAGGCTTCTTCAAATATACCAGCAGCAAACTGAAGACTAGGGGAAATGTGGGACCGCTCCTGAACAAAGTGGGTGCCATGGTGACAGAGGATACAGAGAAGGCAGAGTTATTGAATGCCACCTTTGCTTCAGTTTTCACTGCCAAGGCTGGCTCTCAGGCTCCCCAGTCCTTGCAGGTAAGCAAGCAAGCTTGGAGAAAGGATGACCTTCTCTCGGTTGAGGTGGATCAGGTTAGGGATCTTTTAAGGAAGCTGGACACCCACAAATCCATGTCTCCCAATGGAATGCATCCACGAATGCTGAAGGAGCTGGCAGATGTCATTGCTGAGCAACTCTCCATCATCTATGAAAGGTCCTGGAGAACAGGAGAGGTGCCTGAGGACTGGAGGATAGCCAATGTTACTCCAGTCTTCAAAAAGGGCAAGAAGGAGGACCCAGGGAACTACAGGCTGGTTAGTCTCACCTCGGTCCCTGGAAAGGTGATGGAACAACTCATTC